GGACCGGAGGGCGTACGTAAATCGGGGGATTTGTAAAATAGAGGTTGGATTAAAATTGTGGTAACCTTTGACCTAATACGTACATAACGCTCAATATATGTATGTACTGTCTCTTATACACATCTTTCTGTATTCTAGGATTTAGATTCACATTTTCTTATTTCGCACCTCCCCTTAACCCGAGCGGAATCTAGTCTACGCCCCTGTAGTTACTCACCTTCAACATTTACTGCTGTTGTGTTGATTGGCTGTTGTACACTGCCTTCCATCCCTACCCTCTGGATACCTTGCTCAGTTCCAGCTATTAAATAAGGTTCAGGAATTGCTGGAGAAAAATAAAATTAAACTATTAAACAAGTTAAAATAAGGAAGCAGTGATGTTGGTAGGCAATGGGTGAGAGTGGAGTTGAATAGCTTAGTGGTTAAGATGCTTGCCTTCCAGTCCAAGGGTCCTGGGTTCAATTCCTGCCAGTTGCAGGATTTTTTCCTCACGACAAAACAACTCCACTCCCTAAATCTCATATTGAGATTTAGTTTGTGTAAAGCATCGTGTGTGTATGTTTGTCTTGTGTAATGGATTGTCACCTACTGTACAAGTAGGACAGTGATATATATTCACTATTGGCAATCCTTGGCACATGTGTTGTGTGCCTAAAGAAAGAATAATAATAATATTAATAATAATAACAACTGGATAAATTGACATCCGCCATATTTCATTTTAGTAAAGCCTAACCTTAGGAAGGTACATCACATTGTGTCCAAGTGTGGTCTATATAATAGTACACAATATCATTCTTAATTTTCCTTTTGCTGGCACAAAGGAGCTTATATGGATATGTACTGGGATGGATTATTCCATTTTTTTTAAGGGTAATTTTTGCAAAAAAGAAGCCTGGTATAAATGTCAGTTCATCCTGGTAAAATAATAATGACATCACTAAAACTAATCTGTACATGCGAGAACGCATGGATTCTAGGATACAATTAGGCCAAATCTACCTATGGAGAGAACGTAGGATGCCCGGTAGGACGGTCGTGCATGAGTGATTCCGTTCTAGCATCGTGTCCTCAAACAAATCAAAAGCTCCCCAATATTTAGATGGAAGGGTTACATATTTAGAAAATATTACAGTATTTACATACCTGTCTGTAGGGTTTCACCTCTATAGGGTGTCGAAGCTGGCCCGTCACCATCAGGAGTAAAACCAATCACTCTAATTTCATAGGATGTTGAAGCAGTAAGGCTTTCTAGTACAGCAGAGTTGGTTGACGTATTAGTTTCGGAGACTAGAGTATTACCGTTAAAGGCCTGGACACGATAAGACCATCCCTGCCAACTGCCAGTTACTGTAAGAATGTGAATAACAATAACATATTGTTTAAAGGCTTTTGTAGGTTTATTTAACAAGCTTGTTTAGGCAACAAGCTATTTAATATAAGCGGATATTTCGACAGCTCCTGCTATCTTTATCAACACCAAAGTGTTATCAATTTATAAGCTTTTTCATTTAGCAAAACGGTTTCTAAAAGCACCTAACAGAAAGAAAATCAAAATAAAATTCTATTGGTGAAAAAAATGTAATAGATGGTAGACTTAAAACTACATACACTTAAGATCCTATTCAATTCAATTTAATTTATTCACCCTCCAAAAGCCATCGAGGGCTATTATCCACAAGATTACAACAAAATACACAAAATGGATACTCTCACTTATATACTGTACACCAACCACTCCACCCCCCCCCCACCCAACATGGTTAAAGCGGGATCAAGCTTGGTTGTAAAGAACGGCGGTTACACATTGTGTATGTTTGTCGGATCCTCCAATGACAAGTAAACAGAAATTAACATTAGTTGTAAAAAGTACATTAAAAACAAATCATTATAGGTATTATTAACATCACAAAAAAAATAATGTAAATCAACATTAAATAATATTACCTGCCAATTCATCCCAAGCCACAACGGCAGAATTATTAGTAAACAGTGCTTGTGCATTCTCCGGCTGAAGGGGAACAGGGTAGGGCTGCGAGGATGGATGGTCCACAACCATCCCACGGAATTCTGCGTTATCCTCTGGAATTGCAAACTCAATCACCTGATTTGGATCTCCCTTCCCAGTGAAACTGTACATTGCATCTTGAGTAGTGAATTCCACCCAGAAAAAAATATCAGTGTAGCGAACTAAACTGGTGACATTTTGAAAGGTCTGGCCTGAAATATTTTTTATCAGAGTTTGGTCTGTTCCCTGCAGATTAACAGAATATATTTTTTTACCAGCTTCATCAGGGTAATACAGAAGCTTGTCTGTACTGTGCACATAAAATGCTTGGATCTTTGAGTTTGCAATGATCAGCTTCTTATCATTTGTGTTTGTGACCACATTCGTTAGATTCAGTCTGTAGATGCCACTATTCAGCTCTGACCAAAATAAATATCTGAAAAAAAGTTTGAATTTAAAAATCTTATAAAAAGTAAAATACTATAGGGATTTGTTTCAGTAATCATTGATAAGCGGTTTGGGGTAACATTACGTTCCTCTATGCATTACTGTACATTTGACAACAATTAATTATCTATAATATTATTATACATAACTGGGGATTTCCAGAATTTCAGTCAATATACTTTTAAAAATGTTCTCACTTTATCCATTGATCTCTCCTCTATTATTCAATTAATTACCTTTTGTTTTAAAAATTACCATACATTTTGCTTTTTCAATTTATCACATTTGTATTTTTATGTCAATTTTATCTGGACCACAACGAATGTGGCATTCAGAATGAAGAAAGCTGAATAAATAAATAAATAGTTTGGTGATTGAACCTTTTCCAGTTATAGGGCGACCCCTAATTTCACATCAATTACAGAGACACTGTGAGTATTCCATTATAATAATCTTTGTGTTTGGCTGCCCTCAATGTCAACATTTGTAATGACAAAATCAGTTTTCTTACAAATTTGTTCAAAGTTCAAAGTAAAAGAGCACGATTGATGTTGGTGATTGTTTATTAAAATGGCTACAGTCACAAGGCTAATGGTAGAGCACAGACTGGAAAGGTTTAAACAATAACGTTGAATAAACTCTCAAATCTGAACTTACCCATTGGAAGGATCAACTCTGATTTCTGTGGGAGTGGAAAGAAGATTCCCTACAGCCACTTCTATATTTCCACCATCAAAATCACATCTGGAAATCTAAAGAGGTAGAATATTTTTTTTTTTGTTATTTATTCAGAAAACAAAAACCAATAGATTATTATTATTATTATTATTATTATTATATTATTAATAGTAATAAAAAAAATTTTTTTAAAACTAAAAACCAAGATTACTATTATTAATAGTGTACAGTTAATAAAATATATACCGTAAATCCTTGAATAAGTGCTTCAGTACTTTGCCTATTTGAGAGTGGCACTTATTAAAAAAATATTGGCGTGGCACTTTCCATGCCCATTCCCATGTTACCTATCTCACATAAACCGAAAGGTCCACTGATTAATCTCAGATAAGAAAGTATAATACATACTCCAAGTATTGAAATACACGATGGCGTGTATTTCAATACTTGGAGTATGTATTATACTTTCCTATCTCACATATTCCCGTAGTTTGGTAGGCCTATCATAGGCCCTACATCATCGTAAATAAACGTTTATAAATATATGCTTGCCTTTATCGTGTTATTTATTCATTTGATTGAACACGGCATACATTGTATTGAAATCCCTGTTTCTCAAAGTGTTTCATTACACATAGGGTAACTTACTCTCTCTTGATGGAGTGCCGCAGCGCTTATTAAAAATAGAATAATCTTGAATGAGTGCTGCAGCGCTTTACCAAAAAGAATCATGTTAGGTGCAACGCTTATTCAAGAGCGCCGCATATTTGAGGATTTACGGTACAGTATGTAAATAGTAGTTCCTGATAAAATACAAGTGGTGGGCGTCTGAGGGCGCAAGCTTTTTTGGGGGTCATGCACCCACTGTTTATCAAAGCAACAAGTACATAATGGTATTCAAATACAACTGTATATTCCTTTCTATAGTTAGTGTGTTTACTCATTACTTAATAAGAACAGAATCTAACTTTTACCTGATTGTCTTCAATGAAATAAAGCTTTTTGTATAACCAATCAACAGACATCTCTTTTGGATGTTTGGTACTGATGTAAATGATTGTTGATTGGTTGTCCATTTCTGCCCGTCTATGTATACTTCCAGAATCATCAGCAAAGAAGTAAAGTCTGTCCGTGTAATATACAGCACACCCTACAATACAATAAATTTCACATGGGTATCCAATAAAAAAAAAATTGTCTTTCAATACAGAGATCCTAGGTCATCTTGAAAAAATCTGGACAGCCTCTTGCACTCCCGTAATCAAAATCTCCCGGAACATAAGCAATCTTACACAAATTCAAAATATTTTCATGTTTTTACAATTTTATTATCAATTGTTTCATGCAATTCAGTGCCAACTGGATATCACCATTATGCATCAAAATAAAAATAGATGTGTTAAAGCTCATCCGCTGATCTTTTAAAATATTTATACTAAAATTATTGTTTCTGTTCTTTAATTTAAAACTAAAGACAGATTTTTATGTTTCATTTCATTTCATTTATTTGGTCCAAAGTACATTAAAACTGACCAACACAAAGAGAGGAAGAAACAATACTCAATTGGCCAGACAGGATTGCCAGAAAGTGAACAAAATTACTGTCTAGTAGCTCTCCAATGCCGAAGAGAACATTAAATAGTCAAGCAAAAATATCATTAAAATATAAAAATATATATGTACAAAATCATCAATGAAATCAGTCAAATGTTAATAAGATATAAAAAAGATTAAAAATACAATAAAAATTGAATTATAAGAATTGCAGCACGAAACTATTGTAATCAGTTTTTATTGCTACAATGTTAAGTCACATGCAATCCTAAAAAGAACTAAATGCTATATTCTGCCAGGGAATGATGTGCCTGTAAAGTGCACATACAGGCACATGTACTGTACTTCACAGTCAGGTTACTACAGTTCATATCTTATCAACATCAGCTACAATTTTAAATGGTGGGGTGTAGTGATACTTGCATTTATATATATTTTTTATGATAATTTATAATGAATCTATAATGGAATTAAGTTTAAAAAGGCATTCCTTCTTCTTGAATACCTACAATGTATATATTTTTTTGAAATAAAAATATGATCTTACCGTCGAGTTTAGCAGCGTCTAATTCTAATTCATGAACACTGTTAGCACTCTCCAATGATTCTAACCTTGTGATGTCAAAGGTCGTGAGTGCATTAATGAATTTATCGACAACATAAAAATTATTCACACCAACAACTAAGTTGGGGGTTACCCCCTCATCTGTTAAAGAAAAAAAAAATCATTATGGTATTTACTTTAATATGTACTTTAAATTCATGTATTTATCATTATTATAAATAATAATAATAATAATAATATCCCTCATCTGTTAAAGAAAAAAAATCATTATGGTATTTACTTTAATATGTACTTTAAATTCATATTTTTATCATTATTATACATAATAAAATAATAATAATAATAATAATAATAACAGTAGTAGTAGTCCATAGATTTGGGTTCAAATCCTGATAAGATCAATATTGTTTTTACAGAAACATCTTTTATCAGAAATGGAGGACACATTCAATGATGTATAGATATAAAGCTTTTATTTAATTAATTCTGAAGGAAAAAGTAATATTTTATCATCAAACATCATGGCAAAATAATAAAACTACAAATAAATTTTAAAATCAAACATAAACATACATGTTGGCCTGTGGAGTGTGGTAATGTTTGCTGATGCTGCCGGGCCCAATCCAACACTATTTCGTGCTTGGACGGTCACTGTATAAGCTACACCATCGGCAAGACTTCGGAAAGAATACTCCCTTACTTCTTCCGGTTCTTCTTCTATAACTAGGTCAGTAGAACCATCTACTGGCTGCGCTGTAAGGCGGTACATTTGGATAGGTCCATTAATGAAGAAGGGGGGTTGCCATCTGATCTCAATGCTACTGAATGATGCACTCGTAATACTTACTATAGTAGGCGGACTAGATGGAGCTAAAAAAAAAAAGGAATTATATTTAACCAATGGGAAGATGTTCAGCTCTTAGAGAGAATAAAAAATAAAACTAAAACATTATCTAAACTACATAAATATTTTGAGGTGGCAAACTAGACAGTATTTGTGTTTTCCAAATACTAAATGCAAAAAAATCTATTCAGCCTTGCTACTTATGAGTAGGGGCCCTGAACCCTGGCCACTACAGGCGCCACCCTGGTTACCTACTAGGAGTGGAGTTAGTTTGGTGGTTAAGATGTCTCAAGTTCTATCGTGGCCCTGTGGGAGAACAGTATATTTCTCCTAAACAGGTTTAAGCAGTATAAAGATTATATTATTTTTAAATTTGCATGAAGCATAACACTTTATAAAATACCTAAACTCACCTCCAGATGCAAGTGTCTGAATTGGCAATGACTTATTAGAATAAAGATAATTCAAACTTGTAATAATCCATAAAACCCGGAAATGGTAGTTCACGTATGGAGACAAGTCAGCCACTACTAACATATTGACCTTGATTGGCTGAAATCGATAAAGTAGATGGAGATTATAGATTTCTTTTTTATACATTCATGTATTCATTCACAATCAGTAAAATAAATTTTACTATGCAGTTTGCCATTGATAAAAAACTAACACTGATTCTGACTGTCTGTGAAAGTAACCAACTGTCTAAAAATTTACCAATCATTTTTAAGACGTTGAAACTGGTTGGCAAAGTCAAGAGGATTTCAATTGCTTGGATTATCATACTAACTTGGTCACACACAATAGTTCATGTGGTATCTGAGCGAAACCTAAATTAAGCTGTGTTTTGTATCAGCACTGGAAGAATATTTTCAAAGCATGCATTAATGGAGGCTTAAAGACAAACTTTCTTTTTTTTTCATAAATTGTTTAGCAAAACACGGCGATAATCATAATTCCAAATAAAAATATTTGGACAATTAGTGCACATGCCGCCACAAATATATTGGAATTTAAAAGAATAACATTTTATATTTATTTTGAAATACAGTTTTTCCTGCAATTCGTGACCACCTTTAGGACCTGACAATTTGGGATTTGGTCTCTATTTAAAACCTCTAAATGGAGACCATGGATACGGATAAGACTGGTCTCTAAACAGCATAATTACAGAATAATCAAGCCCAAAATCATCTACAAAGAATCATAATTAGAGGGTGATTAAATTTAAAAACCTCTAAAAACAAAGAACAAAGCATTTCTTTTCTTGCAAGAATTGAATATTTATTTCCTTTGAACTTCGTTCTGCAATCGGTTTCTAAAGAGTGGCACTCACTGTGCCCGATGGCCCTTGGCCCACACGATTCTATAATGCGACGACACGCGCGCAATGGATCGATCTTAACGGTGATACGTTAAGGCTGCCACCAACAATCAGCAGACGGCGTTACATTGTTTATCGCTCACTGGGTTTATTTATTTATTTATTCTGGTTTATTCAAATCGAAACATATTTCGTGGCAACACAAAGGCTGAATTGAGAAATATTAACAAAATTCGACATAAAAAACAATTATAAACTAATTAAAACGATTGCACTCAACAACAAATGAAAATATTTAAAAAACAA